ATGCCTGTAGCATTACTGTCATGACCTCCTGCTCACTTGTATTTATTTGAGTTTGCGTTCCTAAGAGCATTGACATAGCTTACAGAAAAAAATAAAAAGAAATACAGCAAAGGAAAAAAAAAAAAAAAATTGGTGGCACAACAGAATTCGATAGTATAAAGAATAAGGATATACAGAAAAGGAGTCCCAATGAAAAACCTGAATAAATTGGATTGGGAAGGTATACTACTCCAAAGTTCCTAATATAAGACTTGATCCGAAAAAGATAGAAAGAAAATTTTAAAAAATATAGACTATCATATGCGAGTATTAATATGAATTATACTTACAGTCTTATCTAATATCGTGTACTAAATATGTCCTTGAATAGGTCAATATCTATCGATAAATTTGCTTACAAAGATAAGATTGCATTTTTACGTAAACTGCAGCTTTTCGCAACCTATTCCATAGCCTTCAGTCATGTCATATTGTTCCTCTCAATTACTGGGGTCAAGCAAACTCGATTCAGTTCGTTTTCAATGAAAATTTCTCCGAAGTTTTAAGAAATGGTGCCAAACCCGCGTTTGGTAGAAGCCTATAAACTCATGCTCTAGAGGGAGTGAATTTTGATTACAAAAGTCTTCTATTAGGGAATGACCATATGAACTCGATTTGAGTGATACTACAAGAATGCGATACTTCACCAACAACTAACAACTGTATTTAGACCCAAAAAAAAGAAGTTTTTAATGTATTAATTCTCAAATTACGAAGTTATACAAGAAAACGAAAATATAAAGTATAAAATTATGTTACTAAGTCCATTGATTAAAAAATTCAAGAACTTAACAACCAGAGAGATAGAGAAGGAAACTCAGAGCTTAAGTAGGGATACCGTAAAACCTACGTGTTGGCAGAATAGACAAGAAACAACTAACAATAATAGAAACAGCATAATTAATATTTCCATTAAGTTTGAAAAGTACTTTAATAATTCTTCCCATCCCATTCCATTGTTGAGCCATTACTATCATACAAATGTGTCACTTTCTTGTATTTGTTAGGCTTCTTACTTCGTAATATTGGGCCCATTTTTTCATATGGGTTCTGGTCTAATTTACGCCACAGCCACATCACATATAAGAATTCTAGTTGTCTGCTTGTAATGTGACCACATGATTCCGACAAATTAATCCTTTTTTTTATATGGATTCTGGTCTAATTTTCATCAAATGACAGGAGAATTCTAGTTGCCTGCTTGTATAAGCAATATGCTTCCGTATAAGAATTACAAATGACAGCTCACATTTATTCTACATAGAGTTGAAAAGGAATGACCCTCAAAATTCGAATCATATCCTAAGCATTGCGTTTTGAAGTTGAGAACGTGTCAACCCAAGATATTTGTAGTTCAGGGAATGTGACAGACATGCAGGGGCGGATCCAGGAATTTTTCACGCACGGGCTAAAGTTTAAACGTCGATATAATAAATTCATATATAAATTAACGTAAAAACACCCAAAACTAACATTGAACTCAAAACTAAAAATAGTATACCAGGACTCCGAAAGAAAAACAGGCAACGACAGAGTTTTGGACAGAGAAAGCAGACAGTTCGAGAGTGCCAATATGGCCGGCGAAGACTTGAGTAATGGCGCCAAGGGAGTATTGGCAAATGGAAGTGAAAATGGCTAGACCGGTATTTTGAATAGAAATTACAAATTAGGTTTGGGTTTGAATTCAATCTTACATTTCAAGATTGATTCTGTTACATTTTGTTTGGGCCAAAAATCGGAATGAACTCTTTAATATTTTTTTTTTATGGACACGGGCTTGCCATATTAGTTAGTGGGCTAAACCAAAAAAAATGTGGGAGTACTGGATCTGGGCTTGGGCGAGCACGGGATGTAGTTCGGGTCAGCCCACGCCTGGATCCGCCCTTGCAAACATGTGAGATTCAGAATTAATGGTGAACCTAGAATTAGCTGTTGCGCCTTGTCTTGTAGCATATGTTGGGAAACTATTTAATTTGTCATGTGGGCCGACATACGTACTTAATTGTGTATAAATGCTATCTTAAAGTTAAGTCCAAATAAAGAATTAAGTAATTGGGTTTTGAGTATCTAAATAAAGTGTGGACCGGACTATATGTGTAGAGATCGGATCCATTAATGTTTGTATTTAACGATAGGCTGAATACATATGGAAACTATATATATATATATATATATATATATATATGGTTATGATTCCCGATTCATATGTGAGGCTTATTCTTTGTATCATCTCATCAATACAAGAATACAAGAGAAATCATATTGAAGATAAAGATTCATAAACCTACAATTAAGAAGAAGGTTTGGAACAATCAAATTGAAGATTTAAAGATCAAAATTCAAGATTTATTATTCAACTTAAAAATCAATAGATCAAGGTATGTTCCTCGTTAATTTAGTTTCTTGATGGTTTGACATGAACAAACTGAAGATTTACAGATCCAGATTCAAGATTCATTATTCAAGGCAGAAATCAATTGATTAAGGTATGTTCCACGGTAATTTAGTTTCTTGATGGTTTGACATGAACATCTTGACAATTATATAAAGTTTATAAAATTTAAGTTTCGTGAGTAATTTCAACAAGTGGTATCAGAGCCTCTTCATGTTGAATCATTGAGAATCGAAATTTTAATTCGATTCTTGCATAATTTCATGGTATTAAAATTTAATAATTTCAGATTTAGTTTTGTTAAATTTGAAAATCTTTCGGTTGGTTTTTTCATGATTTCTAAAAGTTCAGTTTAAAAAAACAAAAAAAAAATTGTGGGCGGCACCGCCATTGGACAGCATCGCTCCACCCCACGCGATGCTGCATGCGGCATCTACAATGGCATCGTCGTTGCAGATATTTTCCCACTACACGTTGCAACGCTCGTAGCGGTGAGCGCTGCCTTGAGTTTTGGGGGCGGCGCCGGCAAGCTCGCCCTTGGGATCTTCATATAAAAAAGAAAAAAAAATTAGGGTTTGGGTGAATTTTGGGGGTGGGCGCTTCGGTTGAAAATTTGAATTTTTGAGGTCATTGGTTGCAATTTCAAATTATGGTTAAGTTTTAATCTTTCAGCCCCTACAGTTTACAACTTTGGTTATTCAGCCCCTAAGGTTAAAAATTCATCCAATTGCGCTTTTAAAGTTTCGGATTTAATAATTCAGTCCCTAAAATCTCAAAATTAATTAATTTTGGGCCATTAAAGTTTTAAATTTTGTAATTAAGTCCCTAAAAGTTCATAATTGGTTTAAATTGGCCTCTGAAGTTTTGAATAATTAATTTTTTGACTCCTAAAGTTTTCAACAATTAATTATTGACCTATAAAGTTCTTATAATTGTTTTTTGGTCCCTAAAGTTTTGAATTATTAACCATAGGCCCCTAAAGATATTATCCCAAGAAAGTTCTGGATTGCTCACTGTATTTATAATTAATTTTTGACTTATTGGTGCAATACCCCTCTACTTTTTCAAATTGGTTGAAAATCCCCTCAACGACCTTTGAGGCGTGAAAGATCCCATTTTCTTCAATTTTCTCAATAAATCATTTGAAATGATGAATATGCACTTCTATTTAAATAAATAAATAAAACTAATTCTCCAATGTGATCTCAAAAAAAAAAAAAAAAAAAAATACTAACGAGTCCCAAATAAATAATTTAAAAATCAAAATTAAAAATAAATCCTTAATTTTTATCTTAGCTTAGCTACTCAGTTCATTGATATCTTCCAATGGTAATGGAATTTCAGTTCATTTTAAAAATGTCAACGTCATTGAAACTAATATTTCGTTTCTTCTTATATATTGATTAATATTTTAATCAGGGTCGGTCCGGCTCAAGGCAACCTAGGCCATTGCCTTGGGTCTCAATTCTTGAGGGCCGTAAAAAAATTAAAAGCCCAAAAATTCAATAAAAAAATTCATTTCTTTTTTTGAGTTGGGTCATTTATTCCATTTTAAAGATATGACTAAATAACATGATTGACTAAATAATAGGCCCAAACAATAATTTTTATGCAAGTTAAAAATAAGTTGTTTATTTCAAAATTGCTTATTTAGTTTTTCAAAAATAATATAAAAAATCAATTTGAATAGAACATGAATGATACTAAAGAGATCAATACGCTTATAAAAAATTATATTTAAGAGTTTCGTAATAATTTATCACCTCAAATATTTTATGACCCACTTTGATTTTAATATTTAAAATTTATACCATTAACATCTACCATCTTTAGTCAAAATCTAGAAAGCAATTTTCTTGTGCTATTGCGCACTATCAACCTGTTTGGAAGTCATTAATTCCACATTTTAATTAAAAATAAAAACGTTGCAACAGTTCGGTTAATTGACTGCACATAAAACAAGCAAACATGGCTACCAAAGTGGGGGCTATTGACTATACGACGGTCAAATTTTTAATTATAATTTTAGAAGAATGGCCTCAAAACAGGGGCTCTATAAGAATTATCATAATCAAAACAAGACTAATAAAGTAACTCTTACCGTAAGAATTTTGTTAGTAACCACGGGAGAATGTAAGTCCATGTTTGGCACAAATTGAAATTCACATTTTAATCTAAGTCAAAATTAATAATTAATTTTAATCACATAAAAAACATATCCATGTAAATCGAAAGTGGAATTCATCCTGTGTTTTTTCCTTTCCATTCACCCAGATTTCTTTCGTTTCATGGTTCGGATATTTCTTGGAATTCACAACTTTTCAACTGCAATTTCATTAAAAATTTTTATTTCAGTCTACTAAAAATTTGATTTTAATGCTAAATAAGGAAATGATTAATCCTTTTACCATATATGAACTGCTTCATCAACACACAAAAGAACCTGTCTGTCTAGAAAACTAAAGAAACTTCAAAAACCATCTCCCTTTCCTTGTAAACGAAGACATGAAGAAGAAGAACAGAGTTCGGAAAAGGAGTTCTATACAATTAAAAGTTAAAAACTACTTAATTACGATAATATATTCTTCTCAAAGATTCCTGATGGAACAGCAAAACGAGCTGAAAACGATCTTGAGATCAGATCATCATGATCAACATCTGAGCTCTGATCAAAATTCTGTGCGTAAGAGTATGGATCATAAGTAAACCTCATCGAAGAATTCGAGCATGCGAAAACTCTCTTCTTCTTCTCCTTCTTAATCTTCCTCCATAATTGTGTCCAAATGGGTGCTTTTGATTTACTTATTGATGGCAAACCATCGTACCCTACGAACCGATCATAATTTCGAGTACTCGAGTAGCTTCTAAGGCAGCAAACTTCACCATCGGTGCACCATGTACCCGGCTCCATTGTATCAAGATTTTGATGTCACTTGCTTCGACTCAAAATATTGGGATATGGGATAAGAGACGGATCTAAGAACTTGTAGTTGGTTTTGAGTAGAAAGTAGGGTTTAATATATGCATGGATCGGACTATTTATAGTGGATAATATTCAACTTTTACTTGATCTGATCTGATCTCGTAGACCATTTTCAGGGATAAAATAGTCATTTCAAGTGCAGTAGATACTTTTTCCTCGTAATGGCCCACCTAGGGAATGATGCATGTCCTTGTCATTTCAATTGAGAGGTTGGTGGTATTTTTATTTACTAAACGATTAAAAAAATTCGTGACTAGTCCAGTTTGGCGGGGATTTTTTAAAGTTTATTTAAATTATACTTTCTCTTAATAAAATAATTTTAAACGCATAATATTATTTTTTTCATATTTTTTAATAACAAATCTTAAAAAAAAAATTCCTTTTCACAATATATTTTGAGAAAATTCACATCAAACGTGTTCTCAATTTTTGTACATGAATATACTCATATATTATTTAATTTTGGATAAAATGTCTTCTCGATAAATAAGGCTTACTTTAAATTAAAGTTCGATAAAACCGAAAGGGAGAATAATTTACCCTTATTTCTATTAATTATCTACGTACTTTAAATGTCTTTCCTTATTCTTATGGATATGGTGACGCAGAGCCTACAAAAGAGAAAAGAGAAAAGAGCAAAGTGGGAGTTTGAGTCATTGAAGTGTTGTCATTTGCTTTTGCTTTTTCTCTTTTCCTTTTATATTATGTTTTTTCATTTTAGTTTACTTTTTTGGTCTTTTGAAGTAAAAGAGATTTTGTATTCTCATTTTTCTCTTCCTTTAAATTTGTTTCGGTTTGTGTAGAATTAGAGTATTAAACACTAAGAGTCTGTTTGGCCTGCATTCTTGGCTGATTATAATGAAAAAAATTGACTGTTATATATAGTCAATGGGCCCTATCGGCCTACGGTAGCAGCCATTTTTGTATGGGGTACTTACAAAAATACCCTTAAAATTAGGGGTGTTTTGAAAAATCATATGAAAAGTTTTTAGGAAGTAAAAAATACTGTGTAAAACGAAAAAGTGACAAAATGTTACTTTTTTATTTTTAAAAAGTGACACAAACTCAAAAAAAGTGACAAAACTAAAAAAAGTGACATACCAAAATAGCATCATCCATTTTTGTAACACCAGTCACTACGTCAAAAATAGGATACGACAACGTTCAAAAAATGTTGCCAAAGACCTTTTGCAACGTTTGGGCAAATGTTGTAAATCCCAGTGTCATCGTAGAGTGAGAGAATACGACAACGTTTATAAAACCATTTTTGCCGTAGTTTTTTTTTTTTTTTTTTTTTTTTTTTTTTGTGCAAATTGATTGGCAAAATTGAAAATGACTCCTTATGAACAAAATTTGGAATTGCATAAAAATTAATATTTCATTATAAATTTTTGAATTCATACAAATTTTTGAATTCATACACTTAAAACATTACAAATTTTTGAATCCATACACTTCAAGCTATGTTTGAACCCGGACTCTATTAGTAGAAACTAGTAACATGCCACCAACATACAACTTTCCTTCAAATCCAGATACGAGTAAGTCTACCATCTTTCATTCAGTAATTTCATCAAACACTTCATGCAGATACGAGTAAACCAACCATCTTCTAAATTGATCTTTTGAATGGAGGAAGTACTTGATCTGAAATACTTACTTCTAACTGGAGTATAACCAGACAAATAAGCTTCAGAATACATGCTGCAACTTTAGACGCATCTAAGGATTTACATTGCAATCACTAAACTTCCTCTAAGAACTTTTGTATCTAGGAATGCCAAGCTCGAGCCATGGTTTCATGTTTCCATTGAAATGCAATATCGTTGCTGTCCTCAGGGCATCATCTTCATGACCATAATTAAGCCCCAGGCCCGATAACATTCAACTGTCATCAAGAGCATAAACTAGACCTTGAAAGGTGAGCATACTTGCACTTAGTGCAGTAGTTTCAGATAATCCGCATGTGCTCATCTGTTCTTCCCGTTGTAAAAGAAAGTAATGGTCAGAAAATGGGTAGGCAGACAACAGCAGGAACCATCTATAATATCAAATAAAAGATAAATCAACCAAAATATGTACAAGTGCATGGACCATTCAATTGAGACATCAAAAACAAATAAGACTAGTGATAGTAGAACATTAAATTTTCAATTCAATTCTTGACAAGTTATGTACCATTCAGAAATATATACAGGTTTGTTAATAACCAAACAGGATTTAATGAATGAAACAGAAAACAAAAATGCACACACACAAACACACGGATTTAGTTTTCATTTTCATTTTCAGTGGAAACCATGTTAAGGTGGCTGCCGACATCCTTACGGTGGAAACCATGGTAAGGTCGTGGTGAAGTCTTGAAACAGGATGATTCGATATTTACAGTGTCTTTTTCCTACATAAAGTATATTTGTAAATACAAAAAAGCTACCGGCTAAAATCCATTATCTTCAGCGACAATCTATATATATCACAACATCAAAGGAATTGCAAGGAAAGATATTGAAATATGCATAGGATGTCGTCCAAGAACAGAATACCAAAGTGGTCACACAAAATTGTTTACCAGCTCCTTCACAATCTCGCTACCATTATGGTGAAATACACAAAATTCATATCAAAATCAAGAAAATTGAATTTTTCGCACAAACCTTCAATAGTAGCCAACAATTGAGCAGAAATGGCAGAAATCAGATTCTGCGTTCGCGAGTTCGCACCAGCCCAGACTTCAGATTCAAATTCATTTCGATTTGGGCCAAATTGGTGAAGACCCAATACTGGGCTAGGTGCGCCAGATGAAGGCGCACCCAACCCAAGTGGTGCGCCACCATGGTTTTTCGGAACGGCGTTGGAAATTGCGTAGAGTAGTGCTCTGTCGCGANGTTGTTTGGGATGAGTTGTTGGCGTGTTTGGGGTCGTCTTGAGGGGGGCTTTCGACCGGCATTGAGTGCCGTTCAAGAGGGTGGCCGGAGATGGGTTGTTCGGCATTTTGGCAAGGCGGCATTTTTGTTAGAGTAGGTTTGGGTTAACTAAGAAGGCGTGAATAAGGGTTGAAACTTTTATAAATAAGGGTTAAAACTTTTGGGAACGTTTATTAAACGTAGCGAAAGGTCTCACTTTTCGCAACGTTTAAATAAACGTTGCAAAAGGTTCTTTTTGCAACGTTCTTCTAAAAAACATTGCCAAAACTTATTTATAATGATCAATGGCAACATTCACTTACTAAAATGTTGCCAAAAGACCTTTTTGGCAACATTTATCAACAAATGTTGCATTTTTAATGTTGCAAATGATTTTTTTTGGCATAGTGTGGTTTGATATGAAGATCTTAGCAATTATGTAAAGTTTATAAAATTTAAGTTTCAAGAATAATTTCAATAGCAGACACCTTTGACTCTTACAACGAATCATGAATTTGCTAACAACTTTCAAATTACAGATGTGGAACCAGATGAAGTTGATGAAAATGGTGGGTCAATTTATAAATGATTCGGTGTTGTAGCCGAACTTCTCTCATTTCGAGAAAGTGATGAAAACATGACTTTTTTAAAATCTCCTTATGTGAACAGTGAGCATGAGGTTTAGCATTGAAATCACATAATGTGTGTAGAGGACATTAATGCTCCCGCCAAATATGTTTCAAGGGTCCATGTAGAATCCCATTTCCTAAGGAGGATAGATGCACATACAGTCAATATGATAACAAACTATTTCACAATTGATAACAAGCAATTTGAAATAAATTGTGTTTTTATATATCTTCTATAAGACCTGTATGACTACATGCTGATAGCACAGATTTGATTGTAACCTAATGGGGGCAAATCCTGGAATTTTTGGTCTCTTGTAGGAGTTACAGAGCTTCACTGCCAAGCCCCTGTTTACCGAACCTTTCTATTCATTGTCCAAGACACTAACTCTTTATTATCCAATTGAGAAAATACAGAGCATCCATGTTGGGCATACATGTAAACCAAATCATTCAAAACGGGGATAGAAGCAAAAGAATTGTCTTTCTTGCGCACAGGCAAAATGGTGGAAAATTTGGTGCAATCACCTTTAATTCCCAGGCTTTTCATTTCTTGGAAACACTTCATAGCCAAATACCCCATCCCTCCATAACCATAACCAAGAATCATAGAATTCCAAGCGACGTCATGTTTATCCATCAACCTGAATACACGTTTTGCGTTGTGAATTCTTCCACATTTAGCATATGTCATCTACAATGCAAGTTCAGGTGATTTATAAAATGCGCACATACCTGTAATCCATTCTAATGCCATATGCATGAATTTCCTGTCCAAATCTTAGTGCCAATATATGTTGACAAGAAGCAATGATGCTGGAAATACAATCTCAACAAGCATGAACTCCTATCTGAACTTATTGAATTGTAAAATTTCTTCAAATGTATTAAAGATTTCATAAACGGCGAAGAAATGGGTAAATGCCAAATCGTAGCATGGATATCGATTTCTTGGCACAATATGTGAAATAAAACCTAGATTTGGATTTGAATGCGATTGAATGGTAAAATTCTTCAAGTCATTGGTAATTTTTTATTTTTAGTAAGACTACGATTTGGAAATTTTTTTTGGCTAGATAACTTGGAGTGCTGAGGCGTGTTTGGGTAAGACTACATGCTAGTCTACATAAAGTCTTGGGCATCTGGCAAGTTTATCTTTGGGCTTTTATTCTGTTTTGGCAACTCTCATGCTAAAAAAAAGGTTAAACCCCAACTTTGAGAGCCCCCACCGCCCCAATCCTAGAGCATTGTGGATGAGGTAAATCGTGGGATGTGCCTCAACAGGCTAAGGTACAAGAGCTACCATACTGGTGCCCACAAAGAGTCCGATTTCATACATTGTACGATAGAGAAATCAAACCCTCACACTGTGGCTGTAGCTCAGTTGAGATTACAT